ACCTCTCAGGCAGTAGTTCCATACCTCTCAGGCAGTAGTTCCATACCTCTCAGGCAGATGAACTCTGACTTGGAAGGAAATGTCAATCCCATCTTGTTGGCCAGGCTCCCTCTTGGGAACATTGTTTCTAGGACGCAGTGGAGAGGTGCAGGCAGGTCTGGACTAGTAGAAGCAAGTTCTGGTGGACCATCATGTGTGGTTCACTTCTTCTTCTTCTTCTTTCGTTCGCATGAAATAAATTGTCTATATCTGCAAAGCTGGGTTCACTTCTGCATCAAAAGATAGACATCCTATGGCAGAAATTTCGTATAGGTGCATAAAATGCAGCAGATGCAGTGTAGCAGCTAGATGCTCTCCTGCAAATCGGAAGGTTGTGGGTTCGGAAGGTTGTGGGTTCGAGTCACCATGGAGCATGACTTTCAAAAATGACCTTGGCTTCCAGTTCGATCCAGCCTCGAGTGGGTACCAAGTACAGTCCTAGGAAGTAAAAGTGGCTGGCATGATGATCACATCACCCACCAAGTTCTGATTGGTCTATAAAATATAGATCTAGCCCTATATGCCCACACTGCCTGAAGGCATGGAAAAGGGTCCTTTACAATAATTTATTTCTCACAGTATACATATAAGGTGGCAAAGCAACCCATGCTAACCTTTCCTGTGAAGATGGCATCTGATAGACTGAATGACAATTTTAACAGTAAGCCCATGGCAGATATGATATAGAAATGGATAGCACAATGGATGTAAAGATAATGGAAATTCCACAGAAGATAAAATGATCCTATGGTAAATGCATGACACCTAAGTATAATCCCATAACAGAGCTGCAGGTGAGGTAATCTTTTGGTAGATACTTCACAAGAAAGGTAATCCAATCCCATCCATACTGCTAGATGGGTAGTCTTGTAGAAACTAGTAAAAGTATTGATAATCCAATAGTAAATACTTCTGTACAATTCCATAGGATTACCCATTCAACATTTTATCATGGAATTCCTTGTACACCAGATATCTACAAAACATCAGTATGTACTATAGGATCATCTTACAAAATCATCTACCATTAGATTTTCTTTGGTCACCACTTTCAGTGGCTGTTTTGCCTAATAGTACTGTAAAATTTGCATCATTCAGCCACCAAATGTAACGGCCAAGTATCTTATGGACTGAATTTTCCATTCAGAGAAAATCATAGGTTGTGTCAACCTTAAAGTGTCACCTGCATTTGTTCTCTCTACATACTGCACCAGACCTAGCCCAAACAGAAGAGCTGTATGTTCATTGTTCAGCCCTCAAGAAGGAAGGAATGGGTAATTATATCCAAGGAAGCTTCTATTCAGAGGTAATACAGATTATGAGAACACCCAGGGAATGATGCCCACTACATGGACCGTACACATGCTTAGCCTCATTTCCTTATTCTGGACCTCAACTGCACCAAAGCCATACCCTTACAGACCTCTACCTGCTGCTGCATCTGACAGCTATGCTAATCATTCAGTTCTGCTGGGTCACAAACATCCGCAGCTAACCTCACCTCACACCTCTTCCTTCCTTCCACACATCCCCCCTCCCCCCCCCCCCTCCCCAATAAATCTAGCTCTGCGGGTCATGACCTTTTTTTTTTGGGTCGAACGACCTTTTCGCATGGGTCACCTAAGACCGTTGGAAAACATTCATTGAAATTCTGAAGGAAAATTATTGTGGGTCGCCACAACATGAGGGAACTGTATTAAAGGGTCGCGTCATTAGGAAGGCTGAGAGCCACTGCTCTAGCTTGTCTTACAATGCAGCTTCCAGATCCTCATCTGTCATAAGCAGACATGGTATACCTGCAGAACATACTATGGAGTTTGCTCCTCATCAGTTGCAAAATTCTTTTATGCCTATTACTAGCAAAAATCTGGTCACCTGGTGATTCCTGGTATTTTTATCTAGTGCAGCCTTTGTAACGTTGCCAGCATCGAGTATTGTAGTTTGGATAAGCTAGGTTGCCAGACTGCATTTTATGCTTAAGTCCTTTCACCCAAAACATAGTATACTCAACCAAGCCTTCTAACCTATTCATCTTGTCTAGCTCACCTTTCCCATATTTATTTTCATAAATTATTAATATAAGCCTCCCTACATCTTTGCTAATTAACACATAATGGTTGGCCAATCCCCTAGTTTTAACTCCCTCATCTCTCTTGGTTAGTTCCCCCATTTTGGTTAATTTCCTCCCTAGTTTTGCTTGGCAAATTTCCTCATCTTGGTTAATTCCCTCATTCTGGTGATTTACCAGGCAATAATAAAAACCAGATTTGATTTACAAGAGACACCTCTGAGGTATTTGAAAGAATGTAAAAATATATTAACATTCACCTGAACTGCAGACACTGACAAATTTCTGTTGCATCCCTTTTTGTAACGGACCAGCTCCCCCCAAAGAAGGTTGACCTTACACAGAGGACACTTGCCTTCTACTGGCAGCAGCTTAGTTGGGCTCCCAAGGAAGCTCTTAGCCAGGCATATGATATGAGCTATCATTGGACAGTCCGGCTTCAAGCATCTCAATGTTTTATCCTCAGCCTGAGTGACAAAAGACCCAAAAAAATAACATTCTGTCATGATTTTTCTATGTCACTGTTTCCAGTCTAGCTTATTTTATTCTATCCTGTGAAATCCTTTCGATGTGGATATAATCCAGTCCCCCACCTTTGGTCTCTCGGAACACCATCTTTGGGTTTTCCTTGGATGCTATTTTCTCAATATCTTTACTAATTCCATGAATAAATATGAAAAATGTAGAGGCATTCAAGAAGCATTGAAAAAAAAAATCAGAAGGGTTTAGACAGGACATCTGCCAATACACCCTTCTATCAAAGAGCAATATGGACATATGTTTTACCCAGCCCATTAGCACCAAGGACAAGGCATTTTTTATTAAGACTACTAAAAACTACAATCTCACATTAATACCAATGTGACAGGTCAATACATAAACCCCAACTTTAGGTTAATTTTTTGTTACAAAATCATGTATAATGGAGTTGCTGTGATCACATTTTTTTTTTAGCGTTCACCTTCTGTCTTCTTTCGTTTGCTTGAAATAAGTTGTATATAGCACCAATTTTGTCTCTCAGTATAAATTTCACTGTCGTTAGTTTAGTGGTCCATAGAGAGTTCCACTGTTGTTCTGTCTGGCCAAAAGGTCTGCCTTAATGTGTCAAATTCAGTGCAATCCTGGAGTACATTTAAACTGGCGGAAAGTTCCAATTGCTCACTTCTGAACTTAGTTTTTTCCAGAAGTTTTGCCTGCACAGCCATTTTACAGCTCTGGCTTATCTGTATGCAGACCTGGTGCCTCACCTCTTGAGCAGATGCACCCTGACCTCAAAGGAAAAACCCCTTTTAGGACACACTTGTTAGCTGGAAGTAGGTCCTCCCTTTCCCTTCCCACTGGAGCCCAGAACCCACACAGGAAAAAATAGTGTGCTAGATTTCAGGACAGTGGCTGAGGTCAATCCCATCAGTTTAAAAAAAAAAAAAAAAATAGGAATATTACACCAGCGGTGCATCAGACATGGGGCTAGACTTGTATAGATCAACTGACATTTGGTAGTGATGTGGCGAACATCATGCCAACCACCATTTCCCATAACTTTACCTGGTTCAAATTCAAGGCTGTAAAACATGTTACGGAGTGGCTTTGAACCCAAAAGCATGCTGATAGGTGAGCAGCTAACCACTAGGCTAATGCCAATCCAGAGGATAACAGTGGCAGGATAATTCTACCAGCAGAACTAAAGAAAAGTGAAACAAAAGGGGGAAAGGAAGTTGGCGGGGAAGTCTAAAATGAGTTGCAAATGTTTTCAAAATTGGGAGGGAATTAAGAAAGCTGGTCATTCTAAAATAAGTAGTAATAGTTATCTATAGAACATGTGGAGGCATAAACTGCACTCCTATGGGAGTGACAGGGGACTTGTGTCAATGAGCCTTGATTAGGAGATCATGACAAAATGTTTAGATCCTCAGGTCAGACATGTCACTGTTTCACTGTTCTTTCAGTACCCTAAACAATCCAATATGTGTTTTGACAATTCCAAAGGTATAATGTTCCTGCTATTTTTTTATTTTTTACCTCCCTTTTCACGCCTTAGGTGCATCAGGCATATGGGAAAGAGCAGCTGATATTTTACAGACCAATCGGCACTAGGTGGGTAATGTAAGCATTAGACGGCCATCTTTACTTCCTCAGGACAGCCATCCTGGTACCCATTTTAGTCTGGGTCGACCTGCAACGCCCCATAATATAAAAATCCACGCAGCCAGCAGTGGGTTTTCGATCGCGATACGTTGGGAATACGAGTCGGACTCGCAACGCCGTAGCCATTTCTTACCACAGACAAATTGTATTAACCAACCCTGTGTAACTGAATTAGTTTATTTCATTCATCAAGCTCAACTTATTGGTACAGATGGGATTTAAGTTACAGCTGCCTGGGACGGATGTCCAAAGATTACAAATTCCTTTCATTTAAAGATCATCGTCGCACATGACCATAAGTGCTCCAATCTCCTGAGTAAGTCTCAAGTGTTTTAGACTAAAAACTCCCATTCTGTTCTGGCTGATGTAACGAAGGGTGGTTCCCGCATGGTTTTCATGTCTCGCTGCTCTAGTTGGTACACCCAGGGTATTGCAGTCTAGACAAACAAATTTGCAACAAAAAAGCCTCAGCATTTAGTCTCATATGGCACTGAAGATGTCTTTCGTATCCGTAGATGGCCCAATCCTGAACAGTCGCACTGCCAGCCAGAGTGTCTGCTCTTACTGCCTTTTACCCCAGCATGCCCTGGGACAAATAATCTGACCTACCACTAATCTGACCTACCAATAATCTGACCTACCAATAATCTGACCTTAACAATTCTATCAACATATTTACCTGAATCAGCCTGTAACACACTGCACAATCACCAGTTTCTTCATACAGCAATTCTTGTTCTGTCAATGCTTGTAAATCTGCTGAATAATTTTTTCGTGGTGAAGTGATGGCAACACTTTGCAAAGAAGTGACAGTGCCACTCTGTGATGATGCAGAACTGTTTGTTTTCTTCTGTTTACTACTGCCAGTTTTTAACTTCTTTCTGACAACTGGTCCAAACACAACTGGCATGTGTAATGGCGGTTCCAAACCTGGTGAAGTGATAAATGAGTACCTCTAACCTCTAAATTGTGTGCAGGAGAAATTATCAGGCAATTATTGACACTCGAATGCATGAAGTAGATAAGAGGCAACTTAAAATTCAATGACTCCTGGGCTCTTACGGGTTTCTAATGTTCCGGTTTCTTCCAGCTCTTAGAATTTTCCCACCATTTCTATACAAGAGCTAGGTATTTATTTCACTGAAAGATACCCACCTGGAGCGATTTATTCTTTGCCAGAATATGCAAGGGAGTCGGCAAAGTTCAAAATATGACAAGCAGGTCCCAAAAATAGCAAATACTGCCAGAAATAAGATGGAGCCATCAAAATAAGATGTCAAAATGAACCAATAAAAATACAGTAAAAACGCAACCAAAAATATGAGAATTTTGGAAAACAGGAAATGGCTACTAAACAATATGGCGTAGTCCTCCAGAAATGTAACAGACAGTACAAACTTTCACATATGATGGACATAAGATCATACATGTTTAGTATTTTACACGCTGATTTTAACATTTCTCACACACAAAAGTTTAGAACCGTTACTAAAAACAGTTGCATGAAAGTAAAAAAATAACCAAATTATTTGGTAATTGGAAAAACAGCTTATAATTAAGTGCTGATCTGGCAACACATTGTCCATGCAGCACTATGAAAGCCAGAAAAATATTGAAATCGGCATAAGACCAGGGGATTCCTGCCCAGTGAAGCATGTTTAATAATGAGAAGGCAGACATGCCCAATAAGGGAAACAAATTTAAATAAGACAGCAGTCTATGAAAATGAAACCAATAAATCATTTAAGAAACTATTTTCAAAAGGAAAAAAAAACAGCAGAACCATATTTTTCTGGCATACAATGTCATTACAAACAACCATCTATCACGTAGAACGTCCTCTGTCCATCATCTATTAATCACAACAAGAACTGGCCAAAGCTTATTAGGAGATGGCAAGCAAACAGTACAAGTCCTAAGACAGCTGCATACGACAGATGAAGAACAACAAACCCACTAAACAAAATGGTGAGAGAAACCTTGTAATTGCTTCAGAATGCTGAAACCCCTGCAGACATCACCTTCCTCCATTCATTTCTGATTAGCTTTTTCCAGCTTATTATTTTTGAGCACTCACTGACTAAAAACTTGGCACGAAATTCTGGTTGTTCACATTTCTGGACTTGGTCTTCTTCCAGAACTTGAGTTTTGCGTGCACACCTGTTTTACAGATATGGCTTTTTTGTATGCAGATGTGGTTTCCTGCTCTCAAGCAGATGTACTCCGACAAAAATCCCTAGTTGCCATTTACGACATGCTAGTGAGGGGGGGGGGGGGGGGCAGGGGCTATTTTCCCTGCAAAATGAGGCCCAAGAACCCACAAAGGGACTCCAGTCAGTGACTCCCAAGTGTTGATAGGTCTGCTCCATATTTTTGTTGTGCCTCATGGTTTATTTCCAATCAGTTCTTTTGCGTATGCAGTTTTTGTCTGTCATTCTCTCTATATGCCCCAACCATTGCAATGTAACAGACCTCATGATGCCAGTTCTTGATTTAAACTGTCAGTGGTGATTCTCATTCTTCATTCTCAACTATTTGCATTTATAAGACATAAGTTCTCAAAAAGTTTGCAATATGTCTTAATTGTATAATCAGTTTTAGAGCCACACAGGACAATTGGTCTTAACATTGTTTTATATATTTTCATCTTGGGACTTGCACAACAGAACATTTGATGTTTGATTTAAGGCATAGTACACCACATTTCCAGACTGCATCCTAGTTTTTATTTTTTTATACTTTAGTATAGACACAGTGATCACACAAACAAAACTCAAACCTGAGGGAAAGTCCTGACGGAAGTCCTGCTTCAACCATCTGACGGTCAGACTTAATCCTGACCAGGGAGCTGTCCGTAACATGTGACAAACCACTCGCCATCTGTACTGGAACACACTTTCTTTACGAGACTTGGCTGGAACGTCACGCAATCGTCTGGATTTATCTGGGTTCTGCCAAGCCCATTCGAACTGAAATTCATTAAATCAATGCTTTACTAAATGATGGACATGCAACTTCATGTGATGAGGTGACCTAGAGTATCAAGTTCAACAATAAAGTCACAGGTTAAAATCCCACTGAGGTAATTTTGAAAATAGCTCCCAGCCAAGCCTAAAATGGGTACTAGAAAACTTGGAAGTAAAGATGGCTGGCATTTTTTGCTTATGAACTAAAAGTGAATTCCAGCAAACTATCACAAGAACTCTTGTCAGTGGAAATCAACAATCACCAAGATGACGACTTCACCCACAAAGTATAAAGAATGAAATATTTCGTACTACAACTCTGTGTACAGTGGAAATTTTTGGTTGTTCATCCCACCAAATCACTTCACACACAACAAAGTACTTCCTCCGCATCAACAAAGTACTTCCCCCGCATCAACAAAGTACTTCCCCCACGCAACAAAGTACTTCCCCCGCATCAACAAAGTACTTCCCACGCAACAAAGTACTTCGCATCCAACAACAAAAAGTACTTCACATCCAACAACAAAAAGTACTTTGCATCCAACAACAACAAAATACTTTGCATCCAACAACAACAAAATACTTTGCATCCAACAACAAAAAATACTTTGCATCCAACAACAAAAAATACTTTGCATCCAACAACAACAAAATACTTCGCATCCACAACAAAATACTTCGCATCCAACAACAGAATTCTTTGCATCCAACAACAACAAAAACTGCATCCAACAACAACAAAAGACTGCATCCAAGAACAACAAAATTCTTCACACTTGACATATTCACACTTTAAAACACTTGACTAAATGAAAAACTTCACTGAATTGTCTTCTTCACTTTTACCGGGTTGCAGCCCAGTGTCGTGGTTTAAAATATTTGTTTTGTGCATCTCGCGTGATTTGAGTGACAGTTTTCTGGATCTTCTGGCCGTATTCAGCTACTCCATCTATCCATTTTTTCCTGGGTCTTCCTCTGGCCTTTCTTCCCGATGTTCTACTGTAAAAGGCCTTCCTTATAGGCAATCTGATCCGGTTGCATTCTTACTAAATGGCCAAACCACTTCATTCTCTGTCTTTCAATATGTTCCATGCATGCTCTTGTTCCAACTTTGTCTCTAATGCTGACGTTTGTGACTCTGTCTCTTCGTGTATTGTTGGTGACTCTTCGGAGACATCGCATTTCACACTTCACTGAATTAAATACTTCAAATTTAACAATGACTCGCTCGCATAAGGTAGCAACAAAATCTTACTCTCAAGCCAGAGACATCATTTGGGAATCCATGAATGATTAGTACCATCTCCCTGAAATGACAAGATGAACCATTGTGTACTAAAACTTCTAACAATGATGGGCTGCGCATCAAAATTAAATTTTTCATACAGAAATTATATTTCAGTCAAACATCTAAACTTTTAAATATACATTTGCATTATAGAATAGTGAAGCATGGAATTAAATCAGTCAGCCGATTAGTAAACGAAGCTGGAAAGATGTTTTACAGATGAGAACATCACAGACCAAGGCTACTCTTAAGTTTACCCAGGGGTCAAAATGTTGAATAAAGATCATCACGGGCCAGAGTCACAAGCCTTAGTCTATGAAGATCATTAATACAACTGGTAATGATGAGAGAGCTCCTTTGTTAGGCCTAGGCCTTTGTGAGGGCGGCTTGGGTCTATTGCCCGACTAGTGCCATAGTTGAAAACTGATGTACACATTTGAGGAGATGAATCTACTTTGGTCACATCACAAAAGTGATGATGGTTGGAAAGTTAAGAGGCAGAAGGAGACAGAACATGCTATAGACAGTTTGACGTGACAATCTGTGAAAGTGACAGTAAATGAGATCAAGCTTCGGGCAGAAGATTACAAATACCATTTAGCATAAGGAAAATGTTTTAAATTTACATTCTCAAAGTCCAATATATGTGCAAACATGAAATTCTTACATTTAACCCTTTCGCTGCTACGTTCCCGGAAATAGCTGTCTGCCCTGTGCTAAGCAATGTGAGAAAAAAAGTCTCTGCTGTGCGCAATACTTTTCTATCCTCCAAACGCAAGAGATGCGTCGGCGGTGAGGGCTATATTTTGTACACCCAAAAAATTTTACCCTGGGGAGTTGTGTGGTTGGTCCGAGTGGTGACAAGTCAGAGGCACCATGGTGGCCCACAAACTTGACTAACGGAGCTATCATCCTTCTGGGGGGGGGGGGGGGGGATTAATGGGAATAACTGTTCCCTGTCCGTATCCCAAAATTTGATTGACGAACCTACCACGGCTGCCACTTTAATCATAGTTATTTGTAGTCACCATGTTATTAAATACCAAAATAATAAAAAAAATTTAATAATAATACTTGAGTCGTCCGTTGATGAAAAGTAGCAGGAACTGAAAGGAAAATTTACAATAATTTAAAAAAAAAATAAAAACACGACTTCAGGGGTTGAACACACAACCCTCTGATTCTAAGGCGAACGTGATACCAACTACACTATACTACCGCTTGACGTATTTTGCTGTGTGAATGATAATAATGACTGATGTACGCAGACTATCAATAACGTGCCTAAGCTTGTAATCTATCGCCGCCTGCATGAGCACTGTTGTCTGAGAAATGTTTGAGATTCTCAACAATAGTAAAAATATGTCCGTCGACATTATTTCACGGGAGTTTTTAGCAAACAGTCTTTGCTCAAGTACTCTATTTTGAGTTTCTTTGTTCTAAGCATTAGCAGACAGCAAAAAAAAAAAAAAAAAAAGTTCGTCCGAATCTGTGTCTGTCCATCGGGAAAGATGAGAATTTTTAGTGACTGAACTGTTTGAATTTACAGTAGCAGAAATACAGTTAGAGCTGGAGTCATCAAAATTATGCACTACTGGTTTCAAATCATCGGTTCATAAAGACAACTGATCAATTTATTGCCGTTTTGATGGCGCTTCATTGTCGCTGCTCTCTGATTCCGACAATGAGGACGTCGGACAGGCAAACAGTTTTTTTTTGGACACGACGGTTTCAGCAGTCGATATTGATGGCCCAGTCAAATCTTTTTGTTCACTGTCAGAAGTAAACATTTCAAAGTCATCTTCGCTATCACTTCTTGACAGAAACTCCATAAATTCTTCATCAACTTTAACAAGTTTTCATGCCATTTTGTACTAAGTGTAGAATAATACAAAAGCATAAATATATATCAGGGCACAAAATACACAGATCACCGACCACGCTGTCACGGTAAACAAAGCAACGGGATAACGCAGAATGCAGAAAACACACCTTAAACACACCTAAAAGCACGTGCCAGTGCTTTTAATCATATGTAAATGGGTCAGTTTAATCTAAATATAGTTAATGTATATTGCCCTTCAGCCAATAAAATACGAGGTAACAGAAATCTGTAAGAAAAGTCCAAAAACGGCTTAGGACGTCCATAGCACTGGGGGTCAAGAAAAAAAATAACGTCCAAAGACGGGCGTAGCAGCGTACCGGAAATCGGGAAAAGACGTCCATAGCAGCGAAAGGGTTAAGTACTTGAAACATTTTTATTCCATGAAGGGATTCCACGTTTGAATCCATTCATAAACATCTTTCTAATTAGTGCACTTATTTGCAAAGAAGTCCAGATTCAATCCCGATAGCAGTGTTGTTTGCTTGATGCGGCGGTTCGGATCCACAGTGTACCCAATATAAATCCTCCCTTTGTACTTGGGATACAGACAGTACAACAAGTAGACACCAATAGAAGTCTTCAATCTCTGGAACCATTTTCTCAGTTAGTGATTTGAAAAAAATAGTGAATATTAGCAGCCATATTAAAGACCTCAATTCAAAAAGGTTTTTTAATTTAAAATATCTTTAGCGGAAAACCAAGACGATCCTAGGGTTTTTTTCAAGCATGATTCCATATGGAGTGGTAGGGTGGTGGATAGATAGATGCTCACCTGCCAGCAAAGAGGCCCATGGCTTAAAATCCAGATCGAATATTTTTCCAAACTGACATCTGCATCCAGGTTAACCCACCCTAAAATGGGTATCAAGTAATGTCTAGGGGAAGTAAAAAAGTGGCCAGTGTGCTGAAACTGGCCCAAAGAGTGTCCCACTGGTGTACAGAAAAAGGAGCCTGGCATCAATGCCTGAATGTGGCACTGGTGGTGTAGAAAGGGGCCCTTTACTTTTTATTTTTACACATCGATTCCATACAATTTTCTTGCCCATCATGCTCTAGTCCTACAGGAAACTCAAGATGGGTACTAGAAACTTTGCCCATGTAGACAGGCATCCCGAACATGTGCTGTAGGATAGGCACTCTACCTGTAGGTAGGGAAGATCCCAAGTGTGGTCACTTAGCATTCCAATTTCCAAAAGAAACCAAGCTGTATGCACCAGTGTAGAAATGCGTTGTGCACTGCACCTTCACAGAAGCCTCTGGTTTTATCTGACAGTCAACGGCAGGGTAACTATACTCCAGTACCTCCCATCATTTGATCATTATACATAAAGTTTAGAAATCTAGAAAACTAAATGGAAAGCAGATTCTTTTGGTCACCAGAAATGTTTTAGTGCTGTGGTGACTGCTTCCGCTTATATTCTCATCATTAAGGTATGAGAAATGCTAATGTGTGGGAGCCGCCATGACGTAGCGGCAAAGACCATTGCCTCCGATCCAACGGTCATAGAGTTCAGCTCCTTGAAGGAGTCTAACTTCACCAGATGACATTTGCTCCTAGGTTGAACCCAGGTTAACCCAGCTTTTATAGTACCAGGTAGAGTCCCTGGAAAGTAAAAGTGGCTGGTGTGATGACCATATCACGCACCAATTGCTGACTGTTCTATAAAATAGCTGTAACCCAATATGCCTGAAGTTTTGGAAAAGAGTCCTTATGAATATGCTCCATCTTGATTTGTCCCACCCAGCTGTGAAGCTCCATCCAAATCTTCACAAGTCACCAGTGCATTGACCAGACAGTACCTACCATTGGCTTCAAAATCAAATGGC